AAATGTAGGCACTTCCTACAGCAACCGAAGGGGTTTTTCCGTTGCTGTAGGTAGTCCACCTCTCCAAGAGGCAGTAGCTGGGTTGATGGAGGCATTCTTCCATCAACCTAGCTGCATCTACAGCTAGGGGGTAAGTCAACCTAACGATGTCGCACAGGGCGCAACGTTTTTCACAGCCCTGAGAGATGTAGTTAGGTCGACTGAAGTTTTTAGATGAAAACCAGGTCTCAGAAAACACCGATTCCATGAAATTGACACGTTGCCCGTGAGACTGTCGGTTTTTCTCAATTTTTGATGGAAAACGATCACAACAGTTTATTTCAGCATCATCCATTTGATTACACTGTATATTACATTACAACATAACAGTGGAAAGATTTTGACCTGATTGAAACATTGCGATAAGGTCTGTTTAGATGTTTCCAAAACAAAATGTTTGGAAACCTCATTTTGCTGTAAATTTCAATGTTTTGTTCTGATTGAGAACAACAGCAAAAAAATCACCAACAAACCTCCTCATATTTTTGGAATATCCCATGAAATGGAAATTAAATTTTCTAGCTTCTTCTAACAATAAGTCAAGTCCCCTCCTATCAGGAATTAAAGGCGATGCTGAATGTTATTAGGTAGGCAACTTCCCCTTGATTCTCAGGCCGATCACGGGACTGCCAGGTCTGAAAGCATGCACACAACTGCTTGAGAGAAAGGACTGGACTTTGGGCACTTTTGTGGTCCAACCACTAGGAGGAGACAAAGAGCCATACTCAGCAGAGAGCCTGGCAAGCTTTCTTCCAACACGTTTTCCCACCGCCGCCTCTAGGCTAGACTGGTGAGTTCAGTCCCCAGCAGTCGCATGGAGACCAGACGTGGTGGTAAGTTCAGTCCCCAACAGCCATATGGAGACCAGACGTGGTGGGAGCTTTGTGACATTTATAACCTTGCAGGGGAAAATGCCGAGCTAATGGAATACCTACAGCTGAGCAGGCCAGTAGATTAAATACAAAGAGACACTTCTCTGGACCTTTGTTTGAGAAGTCTAGACACTAACACAGATTATTTCTCCTCCCCCCCCACCCTTTGTTCCACAGGTTTCCGGTATCTGGTCCAGCTGTGAGAAACAGCTGTGGGGTGATAAAGGGGAATCAGATGCGTTCGGAAATGTGCAGCGCTGAATTTAAGTGGATTTGTCAGAAAGAAGCCGTCCTGATCTAAGCAATGACAGTAGGGAGGCGGTACCCATAGAAATAATAGATTCCTAGATAGAAAGGCCATTCTGATGGTCTACTCTGACCTCCTGCATAACAAAGGCCAGCCAATGTCACTCAGTAAAAAGCTGATGGGAGAGAGCCACATGCTCTTCATAGTTAGGGTGACCAGATGTCCCGATTTTATAGGGACAGACCCAATATTTGGGGCTTTTTCTTATATAGGCTCCTATCGCCCCCCACTCCCTTTCCCGATTTTTCACACTTATCTGGTCACCCTACTCCTAGTCCTCTGAAAGGTCCAGCTCACCCCTGTGACAGAGTGGGAATTTTCTGTAATATTTTTGTATGACACCTGTGCGTGCCTCAGTTTCCCCTGTATGCCGCATCGTCACCTAGGAGGTAGAAAAGGGCTGGTTACACTCAGGCAGGGGTGGCTGACGCTGGTCTCGAGTGTGGGGCCCATGTCGCTGGAAGTCCATGAAGACAATGGCAAAGCCAACACCCGGGACATTTGCTACCAAGCTATGAACAACCATGGATGGCCCATCCCTCCGCAGGAAGCCAGCCGTGTTTGAGCACCTGGACAACAAAGGACCCAGAAGGGACCTGGTGGGACTGGCCTGAGATCTTGACCAAAGAGGACAGAGTGGGAGCTAGGAGGGGACACACCGCTTTGGCTGGGGCTCTGGGCCAACCAGAATGGACCTTGCTGTAACTTTTTTTTCCTCTATGTTAACCAAGGACTCTCTACACTTTGTTCCAGACAGCTATTAATCCCTCCTGCTTTTGCCACGCTGGCCGGGAGTCACAGCCGATGCTGAAGGAGGGCTGCATGGCTCCGTTTG